ACCCTAAACCCTAAACCGGGTCTCGCCTCGTAGGTTGACTGTTCCACCTTGGCATTCCTCTTGATCGCAGCGGAACTTCACCGCCACCTGCACAGATCGAAGTCACAACGCGGCTTCTCTGGGTTTAGGGTTTAGTTCTTGTTAAGTGTAGTGTCGCCCCTTTAGGGTTTAGGGTTTANNTTAGGGTTTAAATTTAGGGTTTAGGTTTACCTCGCAAAATTCTAGGTGAAGCCAATATAGGGGCCTTCATAGTTAGAATTAGAATAGGGTCCAAAAGAATATCGGTAATGCTTTAGGCCCCTACATTATCCCCAAACCCCAAGGTATGAGCCCCATAACACGCTAGGAACCCCTGACAACAATCCTATAAACAACCTTACAGGAAATCGATCAAGCACCCTCTAAGGGTCTGAGGGTTTAAGCACCGAGCAATCAAGTATTCAAAGCAAACAAACTAAGCTACATTGCTACTATGCCAAACCTAAGTACCAAGCCAAGCTATTAGTAATTCGTCCGTCTGAACCCAAAGACGGTTATCACGCCGTTAGGAACCCTTACAGCCCCTTCTTAAAATAGTTGAAACCCCCCTGTTTACCCTGCACGGCCTAGGCCCTGAACCCTAAACCCTAAACCCTAAACCCTAAACCCTAAACCCTAAACCCTAAACCCTAAACCCTAAACCCTACGCGCTTAACAGGAACCTCATCAAGGAACCCTTAAATAGCAACCCGCAAGCCCCTAGACATGAGGGTTTAAGGTTTAGGGTGCTCCCTAAACCCTGAACCCAAACAACGGTTTAGGGTTTAGGGTTTAGGGTTTAGGGTTTAGGGTTTAGGGTCCCAACCCGTGAACCCTTAAAGCTTGACCCTAAAACCCTGAACCCTGCAAACCTTAAACTCTAAGCCCTGAACCCTGAAACCCTTAAACCTTATAAACCCAGGAACTCCAATACCCCTTAATTAAGGAAGATACCTTCAATTATAATAGGATCCCTAATATGATTTAAGGTATATTCCTTAATTAAGGGGTATTGGAGTCTCTGGGAACCCTACACCCTGATCCGGTTCTCCAGGAACCTCCTGTCCGGACAGCCCAAGTCGACCTCGCCAGACGTAGCCTCGGCTTGGGCCTTAACATGTGGGGGGTTTGGGTTAGGGTTTAGGGTTTAGGGTTTAGGGTTTAGGGTTTAGGGTTTAGGGTATAGTAGCCCTAGATAGTAGGATCCGTAGTATAAGGACCCCCAAAATAAGCTAGCCTAATTTTCGGAAACTCCCATAACAGGGTTAAAGAAAAGGGTTTCTGCAACCTAAACCCTCAACCCTAAACCCTAAACCCTAGGCTTGAGGGTTTAGGGGGGTTAGGGCTTTAGGGCTTTAGGGTTAGGCTTTAGGGTTTAGGGCTTTAGGGTTTAGGGTTTTCGAGTTTAGGGTTTAGGGTTTTAGGGTTTACGGTTTAAGAGGGGCTGCTTTTGCAAGCCTTGAGCAGGAAGGGGTTCTTATGTGGGTCCTTGATCAAGGTTCTATATAATTCCACAAGGGGTTTAATGTGTTGATGGGCGTCGTGGGGGCTTCATAAGGTTCCGTTAATATGAAAGTTTGAGAAGGGTTTCTTGAGGTTCCTGCAAGGGTATCTATGCCATAGAACCTATGCAGGTCGGGAGTCTAGAGCTTAAGTTAAAGGAAACTACAGGTGGGGAGTTTAGGGTATATTGGACCGCTATAGGGCTTCTATGAAGTGTATAGACCTTCCATAAGGCTCCTATAACAGTCACTACCCACCTGAAAATGTCCTAGATTAAGGTCTAGCAAAATTCTGGTGTCTCGGGTGGGTTCCGGCTACTATGCAGTGGACCCTGGTGAGAAGCCCAGCAAAGAGGAGCCCCAAAGCGTAAACCTTACGTAGACGCAGGTTTAGGGTTTAGGGCTTAGGGTTTAAAGCCCTAAACCGTACAGAGCCCTGAACCCTAAACCGAAACCAAATACCCTAAACCCTAAACCCAAACCCAAACCCTCTGAAAGCCCTAAACCCTCAAGCCCAAAACCATAAAGGCAGCCCCCCAAGCCTTCCTCTCCATGGCCCGCCAATTCCAGGAGCTCCACCTAAAGGTTGGGTTCTGGTTTAGGGTTTAGGGCTTTGGGAAAAAATAGGGTTTACATTGTCTAGGTGTTAGGGTTTAGGGGATTGAACACCGTGCGAGGTCTGGTGCGGCTGCGCGTACTACTTGCGCCGCATTGTCTAGACCGATGTTAGGGTTTAGGGTTTGGGGGGTCAGTTGTTTGCTTTAAGGGTGGGGGTGGGTTTAGGGCTTACGGTTTAGGCTCTGTTTTTGCTAGTGGTGGCGTTCTAAGTAGAAGTCTCCCAGCTGGTTTGTTAATTAAGGGTCCCCTCAGGGTTCCATATGGTTTCTGTAAGGATCTGGTGTTTAGGGTCGAATGTACTAAGAAATATCTTTCCTCCATTGGGGCTACTATAAGGATGCTTCCAGGCTTTGAGGCTCCAGAGATTGCTTTTGTTGAAAAGGGCGGTAGTTAGGGTTTGAGACTTACGGCTTCAATTGGCTTTTTATGTTGATTGTTTCGGAGCTTGAGGGTTCCGCAAGGGCTCCTTTAGGGGCACATCGAGGGTTTCTGGGCTGTAGGAAGCAGCAAAGACGTCATGCTGACGGTTTATGATGGTCTAGAGCTTAGGATGGAGAGCTTCTTATGACACCCTCAGCCCTAAACTCACCCTAAACCCTAAACCCTAAGCCTATAATTAGCCCTAAACTCACCCTAAACCCTAAATCCATAAATAGCCCTAAACTCACTACCCTCAACCCAGAAGCAAAGATGTACGAAGCGCGAGACGGTCCCGAACTCGCCAAGCTCTCAGGACTTTAGGAGGGACCCCTAATAGGGACCCTTATTCCCATTACCTTACAGTTACCTTAAATAACCATTGTATAGTCCTTATATGCCCTTTATATCGCCAGGTAGTCTCCATATTAACCCCAATAACCTACAAGGGTCCCTATTAAGGGCCCCTCCTAAAGCCCTTAGACAAGCTGCCGCATCGCCGATGGCGCTCTGCAGAAGGTCGCGTCGGTGACCGGGAACCTGCTCGAAAAGAGATGTGAGTTCATTAGGGTTTAGGGTTTAGGGTTTAGGATTAGGGTTTAGGGTTTGGTTAGGTTGAGGGTTGAGGGTTTAGGGTTTACGGTTTAGGGTTTAGTGAGTTCATGGTCTAAGATGGTAGAGGTTCGACATGCAACCTAAGTCGATCTGTTGGAACTCTGAAAAAACTAAGGCACCCTCAACCTCAGAACCGTATTGCGTTTAGAGGTTTGGAGTTTGGGGTCTAGGGTGTAAGGGTTTCGAGTCTAGCTCTAAACCCCAAAGCCCAAGCTCTCCAAGAGAAGTCGGTCTATACAGGAGCCGAATGATTTATTTAGGTTCAGGGCTTCGGGCTTAGGGTTAGGGCCAGTCATACGCAGGGGAATTAGCACAGGGTTCTATATATATATATATATATACATACTTACTTTAATCATACTAAGGAACCTTAATGCATTAGGGTCTAGGGTCTTAGGGTCTTTGGGGTTTAGGGTCTTAAGGGTTTAGGGTTTAGGGGTTCAGGGTTTAGGGTTGATGTTGGCAAGCAATCTAGCCGCCTTAATCGTTAGAACAGGGTTTCGGGGCCCAATATTCTAAAACTATAATCAGGAACGCCCCCCCTCAAAAAAAAAAAAAAGTATTGGTAATTATTTAGATTGCACCCTAGACCCTGAAACCTAAATCCTCAGGCTTCCAAACTAAGCACTTTTGCTTCCGAGCTGCTACCTTCGCTGCGTCGGTGGCACAAGAGCCTTGCACCAACCCGAACTCTAAGCTGTAATACAGGGCCCTTAGTCGTTAGAGTAGGGCTTATGGATAGTTACAGGATTTCTTGAACCAAAACCCTAAACCCTAAACCCTAAACCCTAAACCCTAAACCCTAAACCCTAAAAGGTGCTTGTTTGAAAGAAGGCTTGCAGGGGTAAGGCTTCATGGGCTTTAAAATCACCCTTAAAAGTGTATAAAAGGAGCCAAACAAGTCTCTAGAAGGAACCTTAGAAGTTTACAGGAAACCGTAACATGACCCTAAAGACAAGAAACCTGTAAGGTACCAAATATAGAGAAAAAGAAACAGCCTCAGAAGGAACCCTTCTTACAAGGATTGAAAACGAGGTTTTTAGCCGAACCCTTACAACAGCCCTAAAAGAAACAACCGTGAAAAGAACCCGAAGCCCCTAAACCCAAAGCCCTAAACCCTAAAACCCCAAACCCTAAACCCTAAAACCCCAAACCCTAAAAACCCCAAAACCCTAAAACCCAAAAGCCCTCAACCCCAAGAACCCAAAAACCCTAAAGCCCTAGACCCCCTAAACCCTAAAACCTCAAACCCTAAACCCTAAAACCCTAAACCCTAAAACCCTAGACCCTAAAACCCTAAAGCCTCAACTCTAAAGGCCCTAAACCCTCAACCCCTAAAGCCCTAAAACCCTAAACCCTAAAACCCAAAAAAAACAAACTCCAAACCCCTAAAACCCTAAAACCCTAAAACCCTAAAACCCTCAACCCTCAACCCTCAACCCTAAAACCCTAAACCCTCAACCCTAAACCCTCAACCCTAAAACCCTAAAACCCTCAACCCTAAAATACTACTACTACTACTACTACTACTACTACTATTACTATTAATATTAAAACCCTAAAACCCCGAAACCCCTAAGCCACGGAGGTCCAAGCTTCCTTCGCCAGGCTCCGCTCCCTTCGACACCTCCACAGGGGAGCTGCGCGAGCTGATCAGGACTAGGGACCTGGGGTTTTAGGGGCTTTTAGGGGTGTGTGTTTAGGGTTTAGGGTTTAGGGTTTAGGGTTTTAGGGGCTTTTAGGGGCTTTTAGGGGCTTTTAGGGGCTTTTAGGGGTTTAGGGGTTAGGGGTTGTAGGGTTTAGGGTTTAGAGGTTCTTAGGTGTTTAGGCCATAGGGGTTATAGGGTTTAGGGTTTAGGGGGGTTTAACGGTTTAGGGTTTAGGGACTTGGGGTTTAGGGGTTATTAGGGGTGTTAGGGTTTGGAGTTTAGGGTTTAGGGGTTCGGGGCTTCAGGGGTTTATGGGTTTAAGGGTTTAGGGGAGTTGATAAAGGAGTTGATCAGGATTGTAATATAGGGGCCTTAATACCTAGAACAGGGTTTGGTGTGCATATTTTGGTATACTTGGAAGGAACCCTAAGAGATAGTATTGGCATTTATTCGGGCTTCTGTAGTGCAAGGGTGTTGGCTTGATAGTTTTGACGGGGACCTAGGAGGATTCTGTGCGGGCATATACTGTGCGTATGTGCTGTGTGTTAAGCAGCCCAAAGCGATGGTATGCCCAAGTTACAATCGCACCAAAACCCCGAAACCCCAGCCAAGCCCTCAAGTCACTCCCCGATTCTTACTTGGAGGGTCGGGGGACTTAGTAAGTAGTGTAGACAAATATAATATACATACCACACACCCCAACTAACATCCCGTTTGGGGTAGGTATAAGTCTACTTCTTGCCTACTTTCTAAGCCCCCCGACCCTCCAAGCAAACCCTAATCAGTCCCAAATATCCTACAGCCTCAATTCGGTAAACCCTAAACCCTAACCGGCCCTAACCCTAAAACCTAAACCGTAAACCCGAAAAATGAGAACCTCCATGATCAAAGCAGCCCACAAACCTCCCAAAAGCAAAAAAAAAACCTATAACAGCCTATCAATTCCCAATAAGAGCTCCATAAAAAGCCTGTAAACCCTATGACGGGCTACACATTCCAAAACCCCATAAACCCTAAGACCCCCCGGCTGTAAACAAACAGAACCCCCACCACCACCACCAGCACCCCACCACCACCACCACCAC